AAAGTGACTGACGGCCACACTTACTACAGCCTGAACTCTAGCAGTGATAGCAGATAGAACGTATTGTTTGCAGCAAAGTGAAACTGAATTTTCATATTGAATACTTTTATATAAAAATGTAGCTTTTTTAGTTCTGTTGTAATGCAGAAAAAGGTCTTAAGATAGTGAATAAAATAGATTTGTAAAAGCAGCACAGGCAGGAATACACACTTCTTTTAACTAGTCTTTTAAACTAAAAGCTGACAAAATCTAATTTCACAAGTAATTTAAATGCATTTTTTAAAATTTGTAATGACGTTAAATATTACAGCAGACAAGGAAAAGGACAACAGAGCTGCAGGTAAATCTAAAAATAATGACGAAATACTCATCATGAATCACTGGCCTCTCAGCATTTATAAAACTTTAAATATGTTTCTTATAACACATTCTGAAAATGCGGTCGTGCAGCTACTCAGAAATGAAAGATGTATTTCTGTGCATGGTCTATTACCCTGACCCTTGATACACCCTGACTCATTTACTTATCGGCCCTGCCAGGTCATCATTTTGTCAGCTGGGTTTATAAATGGAGCAGGAAGTGGTGGATATGCGTCAGGGTGGAAAGGTTCATCTTATGGCCCTACTTTCACTCGTATAATCTCATCCGAGTCTGCTCCACTCGATCCATTTCACCTCAAGAAGAAGCGGCACAACATGGCTTTGATAAACTAAATTCTATACTGGCGGGTTGGGATCAAGTCGATGGAAGAGGCTGATCGCACAGCAGAGACAGACAGATGGAGAACGTCTCAAAAGAGTTCTGCCTAGCTGAAAAAGTTTTATTCTTTCCGCTGACTCACCAGGTGTTCTTAAAGGAAGTCTTTGTCTCAGTGTGAAGGAAAGTTCTCCTGCAGATAAAAGCATTTCACCCCTAACAGTCTGGGAATCTACTATATATGTAAATCAACAGATTAAAATAGTGCAACACAAATTTGGACAACTTCTAACTGAACCAAGGTGAAGGACTACATTCAAATCTTTAAAACCTATAAATCAACTAGACTGATAAATGTGGAAACTGGTCCAAAGTTATTAAGTTTTAAAGGTCTATGCAAGCCACTGTACAGCCATTTACAGTTTAATGACATCCATACAGTGGCTTTACAGTCGGCCTAATGGTAACGTCTCATGTCCAGGCTACAGGAATAGCTCAGCCGTCCATGAATATATCTGGCAGCCCTTCGCTACAGCTGACATTCCTTCCCTGACCCCGTTTAAGAAGCCATCGCACTTCCAACATGAACACTGCGCTACGCCCCCTCAAGGACAAAGAAACTCAGAATGTGTTGACAAGAATCTGTCGCACCATGGTACATACACATGGAAGTCAAAGTATTGTTTGGATCAGTGCTGTGCACAACTTGCACACGTCACCAGGCCTAATTTGTTTTGCAGAGTATGACCCACAGAGGTGAAACATTTATTCCTGCAGCAGCAAGCCCATCGTCTTTTCCCCTCTTAACCGGTTCTTTTCATTACTGGTTTATCAGAAGATCCTTTCGTTGATTAACTTTTTGGTCCCTAAAATATCACAAAGAAACAAAAAATACAAGGCGCAACATCCAAGTACCTTCAAATTGCTTATTTTGTCCAATTAACCGTCAGATATACACAGATATAGAAACAAAAGACACATTACAAAAACTACATCAACCTCATTCAGCAAATCATCTAATAGGAGAGGCTGGATCTTTGCTTGAAGAATACTGAAATGATGTGTTTCTTATCAAATGTGTTGCCGGATTCAGATTCAAATACAGCTCTGTTTCTACGATGTTCCAAATGAAGGTACACAAACATAAAGTTCTTCTTGTGACAAATAAATAAGTGAAATCTTTTCGCTGTGTAGATCAAATAGTTACAAAAAACAGTTCTAGACTCCAGATTTGAGACCTCACATAGACTTAAATTTGAAAGACAATAAAACATTTGACTAAATTTGGACTTGGCCATTTGGCATTTGACTTCCTTACACTTTAACACTTTTTAAAGACCTGAGACCTGTTATCATGACTCGAGTCGACCCAGACTTCTGACATGCTGTTCTGCAACAGCCTCAAGAGGTATGAAATGTACTTTCATACCCTGACATAATTAAAGATGTACTGTCTTTGCAGATGAAGCCCAGCAGAGAGACAGCATCCGTGTTATGTATACACTGTGACTCAGTCTGCTGAACACACTAACACACCAGGCAGAGAGCACCGTACTGAATATTTGAAAGGAACCTGCTTGAATACAATCATCTCTTCAGAGGAGATGTGACAGGTTTCAATGTTAGAAACTCATTTAAATGAAATATAAACCATCCTTAGGTTATGCATCATTCCCACACTCTTACCGACGGCTGGAAGTCTTGAAAGTGGAGAACGACTGCTGGCTAACAGAAGACTTGGAGCTCAGGTAACAGCTGCTCTCAAAGTGATGCTTCTGCTGTTCCTGTCGTTGATAGTGATGATGCTGATGCTGCTGCAGCAGCTGCTGCTTCCGCTGCTGCTTCTGCGTCACTTGTATTGATTCTGACATCCTGAAGGCCACTCCGCCAACTTATGATTTCAGACTTTTCTGTTCTTAACCAGCTCTGTAAATCAATCTCATTATTATTATTATTTACTACAAATTGATTATCTTGCTGAGGTTAGTTTAGAGCAGGGGATGATGATTAGCTATTAAGGATGAAAGTTAAGGCAACCAGGGAAATGTTAAAGCTGTTAAGATGGAACAAGATTTTTTGATTTGTAAAATGTTAGCGCCAGTTAAGATCTACTTCTACTGTTAAACAAAGAAGCAGCAGGTAATAACTAAACTATGGCAGCATCTCATTGTCTACACTCTAGGCCTTGGTTTCATATCTTTAAAGAGAAAAGAATAGTTGAGGTTGAATTTATTTGTTTTCATGTTTTTTAAGATAGTCCCCAGGTGAAAATAAAAAGCTGGGAATAAAAAGTGGTGTGATGTAGTCATTTGGGGCGAAATACACAAACATATCAAAGTAATACATATTACAGCGCAGATGGTCCAGCGGGTAGATTACCCCCCATGTACGGGGGCTTTAGTCCTCCAAGCAGGCGGCCCAGGTTTGGGTTGGACCTGTGGCTCATTTCCCGCAGGTCAATCCTCGCTCTCTACCGATTTCCTACTCTAGCCAATGTCCTATCAAATAAAGACAAAAAGTCCCCAAAAAAGTAATACACATTACCCTATGTAGTGCTGAGACTTGAACTGACAATACTGTTTCTTGTCGATGAATCTTTTGGGTGGGTGATAGTTCAAATAACCAGTTGGTCTACATTGTGAAAATGCTCTTTACAATTTCCTAAAGCTAGTGTTGTCAAGTCCACATTGCTACATTTGTTCGTCCAGAGGTAATGTCAAAAGGTAATCAGTTTTCATAAATCACATTTGAGAACATGGAACAGGGGATTGTTGCTAAAGAACATGACTGAGAGAAATACTGTATGTGGATAATGAACAACAGTTTTTTTTGTTGATTCACCAATCAATCAATCAATCAATCAATCAATCAATCAATCAATCAATCAATCAATCAATCGATCAATTGCTTGAGGTCTTCAGCCTGAAATTTTGAACCGCTCATGCCAAGCATAGAACTTTCCTTATGTAATCACAGAACAATTATGACTTCAGTTCTGACTTGGAAATATATTTTCTGCAGGCAGAGCCCTTGACAACACCTACAACAGACATATTATTGTTTATATTTATAAATGAACTACAAACTGTATGCTGTCAGTCATGAAGGCCCAGAGTGCATAAAGCAAAAATCTAAGTCATAATAACTTCTTATTGTTTGTAAAGCAAAAGTCAAATGAATAGATTGGGTCTTCTTTTTCACTCCAATGACACATGCAGACTAATCTACAAGGACACACCTTGTTAGTAAAGGCTTAGTTAAACTACGTGAATGTAAACAAAACATTAAAAAAAACAAGTGTTTATACTGATTTTGAAAAGAAAACTTATAGACACATGGCAGAATTACAATTACTCATTATTAAAATAAAAAGTGATTAGAATAGAAATTAAAGTACATGTCACTCACCACAACTAAGAATCCCTAAATCCTTACTAGTTGAAAATAAGAGAAATGGGGAGATATTCCAAAAGTAGCCAAAGCCAGTCCAGGTACAGGCAAAGCAGCAGGGTGAGGGGCAGCGGACAGCACGGCAGTCCACTGAGCAAAAATAATGCTGCCACTCGGCAGAATGCACAAGACACCGTCAGGACCTTTTAAGGCTGGGACGGATTTAAATTTAGACCATGAGACCATGAGAAGGGCCACGCTGAGGAGCCTCTGCTAAGCCAGACTCTCCACAGTGAACAGGAGTTACTGAAGGGGGTTGAAGGGGGAGACTTCTGGTGTGTCATCGGGGACCCAGTGAATTAGAAATGGTTAGAAGAGGAGCTGCGGTTGTTAAAGTGTTGCTACCTGTTGAATTGAATTGAATGGCGTGATTTCCCTCAAAACAAACTGGGCCACGGACCCAGAAGCTGAATTAACATGCTGTCAAATGTCTCGTATTTTAACACATGGACCTACAGGCTGTACCACAAATGTAGCCAAGAACCATTAGAGTTTCTTTTTCAGCTCAGTTATCCAACATACTGTGTGCAAAGGCTACGCAGAAAACTGAACACTGACAGCAGAGAAGCGCAGGTAAAAAAAAAAAAAAAGATTTCCAGCCAAGGCGTTTGTTAGCCTTTGCTACCACCTGGCGGAGGAGCATGTGAACTTCATAAATTATTGTTATCATCACACATCTTGAAACAAGGGCTGTTCAAATGTATTAGTGTGAGTGTAACATTCCTAAATAGCTTCTCTTTTTTTTTAAAACCTATTTATCAATATTCAATCAGGATCATTTAAAAGAACAGATAGTCGTGAACGCAACATGGAACGTTCCAGACTCTTGGCTCCTTCCATCTCCGCTCTGATTGGTCAGTTTCGGGAAGAGGAAATGAAACACTGATGGTTGTTCTCTTCATCAGCCTGTGGATGCTCCTCTGCTGATCAGCCCTTTGACAGTAAACAAGTTTTCTGTAAGGTAGTTGATTTATTTCACTCCGGGGTGTTTGTGCAGCCTTAGATAAGAGTGTTACCTTTAAGTTGATCTCGGTTCGCTTGTGAAGGCTAGTCTGGTCAGTCAGTTATTAAGGTCAACACAGGGCTAGCTGGCTAAGTAATGCTATCTTAAGATAACGCTGACTTGTCTATTATTTTTGAAGGTCCTTGAATTACAAAGTAAAGTCACAACCCAGACTTGTGAAATAACCTCATCATTTTAGTAAATAGAGTCATTTCTGCTAAATGTTTGTTCAAGTTATTTATCTCAATTGCAGTATGTAGCAGGCTAAAGCTAACAACAAATGTTTTGTAAACCTGGTGGTGAATATTTACCATTGATTTTATTACATAGGACTTTTAATGTTTATCTTATCTTTCTATCTATATAAGTTTATAGTCAAAAGCTTACAACTTTGTTAAATACAGTCATGCAGTCTGTCTGTTTCTGCTCTCCTGTCTTATTGAATTCATTACAAAACAAAAGCTCTCTGATCAGAGACACAATGAAACTACAGCTTTAGTGTTTTGGCAGCATCTTCATAGATTGAGCCATAGTTTAAGAAATTGGGCATTGACATTATGTTTCTGCAATCAACTCAAGAAAAGGTATCTACGATATAAAAAGACTGATCTGTAACCTGTATACTTTTCAGACTTAAATGCATGGTTATCCAGATAAATATGACAAAGTGATAAGATAAGATGTGTTCCAGCAGCCAACATACATACAAACACACAACACAACACATATATACATACAAACACACAACACAACACATATATACATACATATCCCACCCATACAATAAAAACATGAGCCGACAATACAGTTTGATATATGATATATGCAACTCAGGCTAAAGTTTAAAAGTTTAAATGTCTTCTGTCCTTACTTAAAGGGGAGTCGTTATAAAGTGCAATTGCAGTAGGTAAAAAAAGTATTTTCTTTATTTTGTTCACACACGAGATTGTGTAAAGGATGCATGTTGTTGTCCATAATGTTCAACAGTTTCTGTATCATCCTCCTCCCCCCCATCACCACCTCCAGGTGCTCCACAGCACAGAGCCAGCCCTCCTTATCAGCTTGTTAAGCTTTTTAGAGTCACGAGCCCTGATGCTGCTGCCCCAACAGACGGCTGCAAAGAAAATGGCACTTGCCACAACAGTCTGATAAAACACGGATAACATTTTGCTACACACTATAAAAGACCTAAGCTTCCTCAAGATGTAGATTTTAGATCATACAAAGCTCTGGTTGACAGCCTTTATATTGTCTATACTACAGGAGGGGGGACCTACCAACCGCCAACATGTCGAGCAAAAGGGCCAAGGGAAAGAACACCAAGAAGCGTCCTCAGCGTGCCACGTCCAATGTGTTTGCCATGTTTGATCAGTCCCAAATTCAGGAGTTTAAGGAGGCTTTCAACATGATCGACCAAAACAGGGACGGCTTTATTGACAAAGAAGACCTCCATGATATGCTGGCCTCATTAGGTAAAGTTTTCGACTACAATCTGTGTTATTAACGTTCACGTCTGTGCTCAAGAAAGTTTGTTTATTATGAGATTACAAAAGGAAATCTTGGTCGAACAAATATGACAACTTTTTTTTCTCTGTGAAGCATTTCTGTTCTGAGTGTGGGTAGTGGGTGAAAGCAAATGTCATGAATCTCAGTGACTGACCATTCTCAGGTAAGAACCCGACAGAAGACTACTTGGAGACAATGATGAATGAAGCGCCCGGCCCCATAAACTTCACAATGTTCCTTACCATGTTTGGAGAGAAGTTGAATGGCACAGATCCTGAGGATGTAATCCGCAACGCTTTTGCCTGTTTTGACGAGGAGGGCACAGGTGGGTTTAAGTATACAAATTAAACGAACACTGTTCTCAATCCTGCTAAGGCAATGTTGGCAGGCAGTTTTTGTTTTATTAAAGTACATGACAAAACAGTTATAGTTAGTGTTTTTGTCCCGTTTTAAAGAAGCAAAAAAATGTTGATGTTAGACATTGCAGCAACCTTAAATGCATAATGCCTAAGTTTGATTTTCACCTCACTTTTATGAAAAGTGTCTTCTCCTGCAGGTGTGATCCAGGAAGAGTACCTGAGAGAGCTGCTCACTACGATGGGTGACAGATTTTCAGATGAAGAAGTGGATGAGCTGTTCCGAGAAGCGCCCATTGATAAGAAAGGCAACTTTAACTACGTAGCATTCACGCGCATACTAAAGCACGGTGCCAAGGACAGAGATGATTAGTGACTGTAGCAGCTCTGGATGAAGCGTATTCTGTATAATCTGTGTATCTTTATTGGGTCTCTACTTAGAACAGCTATATCCTGTCATGTGGCTCATGACAAGCTTCACTGTGGTATAGCTCACTGAAGGTCATATGTTTAAGCTGCTTGTTGGACCCCCCCCCCCCTCCCTCCCCTCCCTCCCCTCTCTAACTCCTCAGAAGCTCATTTGCACATCTGTGAAAACACCACTAAAAGGGTCTGTATAAGCTACCATGGATAAAGCTGGAAATAAACTGAAACAAGACATCTGTTATCATGACTGCTTTGGTTTTGCTGAATCATGTGTCATTTTAAGGCAGGTACATGTTTGTAGATAGAATTGCGGTCTCAGATGAATCACAGATTTTCCAAAAATCTTTTATTTTAAAACAAACCAAAACACGTGTCAGCGTTGGTTTAAAGCATTTCCCATTCCAGTCAATTCAAAAGTTACATGATAACACAGGATCAATTACTGGATTTAACAGAAGGCGATGAATTAAATGTACAACAAATACATTTACATACACTATGGCCAAATGTATGAACAGCACCATGTACTTATTTTTCTGCTGTGGGCTCAAGTTACAAGTACTTATTCTCAAATTTGCCTAATGTCATTGATATAATTAAATGTCCCCCAGCAACAATCCTTATCAGACAAAAACTGGCACCACCTTTCAGTGAAAACATGAGATTTCCCCTGATGCACACAGACAAAAAAAAAAAAAGCATTTTCCCTGCTTAGTGATAGCACACGCAGCCTGACACTCAGATTTGGGCTGAACTGGGACGATTTCAAGTCCCCTCTTGTAGCCAATCATCAGGTTCATTTCTGCACCCAGGTTCCCACATTCTGTTAGGAAAGTTAAAAACCCTTACCTTTGTTTAAAGATATTTGGGTTGGGCCATTTTGCCTTTAATGGATAGGACAGCTAAAGAGAGACAGGACGTGTTGGAAGGAGAGAGCAGGGGATGACATGCAGCAAAGGGCCGAGGTCGGATTCAAACCCACAGTCGCTGCAAAGAGGACTATAGCCTCTGTACATGGGGCATGCAACATAACCACGAGACTATCCGGCCCCCGTGTCTGCTCACATACTTTTGACCCCTATGTGTAGCAAATGCGTTTTTTAAACAATTAACAGTTGGAATATCACAATGAAAAGAAAAACAAAACATGATTTCTCTATTTTCTTCCAGAGTTATTGATACACGGGCAACAGTTCTGACATATTTATGGATAATTCTGATAATTATTTGACCGTGGCAGTTTTATGATCATGAGTTTGGTTTGCTTTAAGGGGATCTGCCATAGTTTAAAGCACTTCTGATCCTTTCATAGTGCAACTGTGGGAACACGGGTGCATCTCATATCAGTCTGTAACCCAGACAACATATCCCAGATGTGGCTGACATCAAATTCTAGGAATTCTCTCATTCAATACACCTTAACAATAAATAGACAAGGAGCTGCTCCACATTTTCTGTACACTTTGCAGTTGCTCACAGAGCAATGTATATTGAGACTGTTGGCTCTACTCCGCCAAAGCGAGATTTTTCGACTGGATCTTTGATAGGTGGTCTGATATGCAAGCCTCGATCTTGTCACACTGTGCCAAGAAATCCTGTTGATGGACAATAATCACATTTGATAATATATCTCAGCATTTTCATGGGTTTTAGTGTCACTTAAAAGGTTTTTACCTGCACTGTCTTTACAAGTCCCTTTTTCTTCATTCTGCAGTCATTGAAATTTTCAGGAAGACTCTGTTATAAAGGTGATACAGAGTTATAAGTTAGTGTATAAATAAACGCTACACAAACATAAACACCTGAACAAAAATAGATTACCAGAGTATCAATCTGCTCCAGGATCTTCATGAACTGTTCTGCTGCTATTTTCACTCGGTGGTCAAGTTTACCCAACGCCTCTGCCTGGAGGTCTTTGGCAAGGAAGCCCTGCGCAGGGGGGAAAAAAAATGTTAACGGTAAATTAAACACAAATAATCAGAAAAGATTTGACCATGAAGGAAATTAGGAATATTTAACACCACAACAGACTACATACATTCTTGAGTCCGGTCAACTCTCCGTCTACCTTCTCCAGTTTTTTGGCCGTCTGTTCAACAGACTTCTCGATGTCTTTCAGCTTCTTCAGTTCGACTTCTTCCTCGGGACTGTTCTGTTTGTAAATTATAGTTAATATCAGATGAGCGCACCAGAGACTCTACTTATGTTATGTGGTCTTACCCGCTTGCCAATCATCATGAGCTTGCAGCCTTCTTTTACTCCATAGCTGGTCAGACTCTCCTCCATGTCCTTGAGAGATTTTCCTGAAATTCAAGGAAGAATAAAAATAATCATCTTTTGGGTTTCAAGAGGGTCCTCGCTCGGGCCCCTAAAAAAAAAAAAGTCAAGTTAAGGGTGAGGCGGCTGTGCAAGACAAGAGCGGCTCCGCAGTCTACCTTTGAATATCAGTTTCTGTGATGTTTGAGGTACTCCAGTTGCTTGTGTAAGAGCATCTGCCAGTTCTTTGACTGTTGGACCTTTGCCATCGTCTTCCCCGGTCAATGTGATGCTGTGCTTTGTGGATCCTGGAATATGAGAAAAGCAATCACACAACTACAAATGTCAGATTGAAAAACTCTCTCATATGGAAATGACCTTTTAAATGGTGCAACAATTTAAAGAACATGGCCGTAAATAATGTAATATACACACATGTTAAACTCAAGCTTTACAACAACGGCAAAACACCAAGTACAGCTGTATATTACAAAAGGTGAAGTCTTCACTTAGAGAAAATCAAATACATGCATTTTATACAATCTGAGATTTTATATCGACAAAATGAGCATCTATAGATCAAATCTGAGGAACACAAACTCTTTCGAGAGCATGTGCACTTCAGGTTGTTTAGACTGTATTCCTGCATGTAGAGTAGAAAGGTGAATAAGTCAAAGACAGAACTGAGTTATTCGCTCATGTTTGGTAAAAGCTAACATTAGCTAACCCTTTCCTACTAGCGATGTGCGGTCGGTAGTGACTCACATTTCCATGTCTATCTACCCACTTTAAATACATTCACGACAATAAACCAAAACTGATTACCGTATGCAACTGTCACTGTTATCGTTTGCGCTGACATGTTTCTTTTCTGGCGTCTATTTATCACAACATAAATCACACAGCGTGCTAACAGTTGCTGGTTGCTAACTACTTCCGGGATTGACAGGAAACTCGAGGAGTCACTCAAGGTTTTTTTTGATTTTTTGCTTTATTAATGTTTTTAAAGCTTTATTTATTTATGTATTTATTTAACAATCATTGTTATATAATGCATGAATGCAACAAAGAGGAATGAAAACAGAAATGAATAAAAAAAAAAAGAGAACAATAATAAGTAGTCAGAGGTCGAGCTAAAAATCAAAGAGTATTTCAAGGCTTTGTATAAAACTGTCCACAGTCCTGGAGGCTTTCTCGGTGGTCTGTCCTTCCAGTCTATACAGTTTCATTTGTTTTCTTGAATTGGTGGATATTGGGTTTCCTTTCAGAAAAATGTGCATTTATGGATATAATACCTGCCATGTAAAATGAGAGTGTTTAAAAAAATGACACCAATATGATTTCATATAGGTTTTTCAATAACAGACAAAAACATCCTTTTTAATGTCAATTAATTTTAGTCCCACATAAAATTTTAAATACATGTTCAAAAACAATCCAGAAAAATGAACATATATGTATTGATGGAATGAATTAAAAATAGTCTTTGAGCCAGTTTTACAGAACACAAGATTCAGAGGTATAATTTCTGTATTTTTTAGAAAGCATTTTATTGGATAAATTAAATGAATAATTGTATCATAAACCTCAGCGATTTTATTTTTCATCAAATATTTGATTGATAATGACTCCATATCAGTTCCCAGTTGATGTTGTCAAAGTGATTATTCCCATTGTGTTTGCTGTCGGGACTTGTAGTGCAATGTATCTAAATAGTTTATAGTTAATACTGACGTCGTTCAGCAAAACATCTGTCTTAAGTATGGACTGCTCACTTGACACATTGCTGCCATACAGCAGTCTTAAATAACATGCAGGAGCTGCATAAAAAACAAACCTGTTAAACAGTACCCCCACTCTTTTCTGCCAACAAAGGTCCAAAGTTTTGAAATTTTTAACATATTTTTGTCATATTCCTATTATCCTATCTTACTTGGCTCTTCAGAGTAAAATATAGTACATTTAAAAAAAAAATCATTCTTAACTTAAAACAAGTTCAAGAAAGTTTGTTTTTTATTTTATTTGTGTGTCACTATTAAAACTGAACTCTGAACTCTGCTCATGTTAATCTCTTTAGTACATTCAACTTCTCTGATTCATCTTCATCAGGCGAACCAGCCAGTCCTCCGTAGAGTATAATTGTTACACTGGAGGATACACTGAAGACTGGAACAGTATCCTGAAATTAGTTTTAATGTCCATCTTTAATTTTTGTTCTTTTTTGTTTTGTGATTCATTACAATGAAACTGTGTAGCAGTGAAAAGTTACACTGATAACATAAATAAAACTAACAACACACAATATGTAATAATAAATCTTGTGATTTATGACACAGATATCGTGGTGAGTCAAAAGGTAACAGAAGATTTAAAGCTCGGCACAGCTGACCTTTGAGTTTAAGGGTTATGTCGGCCTGCTTACATCTAGAAGTTTATGGCTCAAACATGTATTCTTGCCACCTTCCTCTTGATAATATGCTCTAAATGTGAAGTACAGCTGAAATCAATGTTAGAAGAATTGACCCTTTAGGGACCTCTCGTGTTCATCTCCTCTCTTACTCTCGACAGGCTAATAAGATTATTTTACCCAAAAGTCTGACCACTTTTTGAGTTCTATTTAATCTGTGATATACATATTTAACATGTTGAGAATATTTGAACAATAACCGACACACAGCAAACCTCGGGTACGGCAGTTTTACAGGGAAGGAATGCAGTTCCTTCGAATAAAAAAAAAGTTGCGCAAATGTGCAAGTGCGTCAGTTTTAACTACTAGATCACTACACGGATTTCCCTTAGGCTGCCATGCCAGATTATCTAACACCCGTTTAACCTTTACATATCACGTTTAACTACAAGATGTGATCGTTGTCCACTTGTTTAGATTTGAGCGGCAAGATAAATCTACAACATCTCAAAGAACAAGGAATCAAAAAAGACAAATAACAAATCTAAATGAAACCCCTAAAACAAGAAGAAAGTATAGGAGAG